CCAGTGAGCGGGAACCGGTCTGTATGTGGGATCCGAACCCTCGGGTGGGAGCGCCGCCGCGCTTCCCAAGCGGCGCACTTATCCAGTGCGCCACCAGGCCGGCCCATGGACATGGCTTTTTAAAAGTTCCAGAGGTGACTCTAACATGCAGCCACTGCCCTAGTGGGAGGTGATGGGGGGCTGAGAATGTGGGGTGCTGGACTCGGGCCTTCCACCTTCCTGCCTAAGGAGGGAGAATGCAGGGCAGGGAGAAGGAATCCGTGGTATTTCCCTGACCACCCTTTCACCCCAGCCTAGGTGAACAGGGTGTGGTTCGTGGGGCAGCTGTAGTTATGAGCAAGGTCTTGGCGAGGGCCCATTCGTGCCACCCTGATACCTGCGCCAGCTGCAGGCCCAGCTCACTGAGCTCTGTCTCCACAGTGAAGGAGCGGGTGTCTGGGGGCAGATGCTGGGACTGGAGGGGCCAGGGCCACACCAAGCTTGTCCTAAGACTAGCACTGGGCTATTGCAAAGTGGACTATGTTTGTTGACTTCTTTTTTACTTAAGTGCATTTTCAGATGTGCTCCAATATTTACATGGAGTATTTAGTCATGTTTTTAGAAGAAAGATGGAAGGACAAATAAGTTGTTGGAGATTTTGGTTGCTGGGCTGTAAACATAGCGTCTGAAGACCAGGTTCAGCTCAGCTCTACCAGACCTGGAGAGTCTCCAAGAACTTTGATCTCTCTGCCTACATCCTCCATAAAGGAGGAGGCTTGACTATGACTACCCGGGGAGGGAAGGGGCGTGGAGGGGCAGGTAACACCTCCCTATAACTCATTTTCTTATTCCCAGAACTTCTGGGCCCAGCCTGGCACCTTCCCACACCCACCCCATCCACAATGCATTCAAGAATATACACATGTATATGTCCATTTTCAGGACTCAGCTCACTGGCCACCAGGCCCAGCTCCTTCAGAGCCCCCAGCAAGTCAGGCTCCCATGTCAGGAGCTCTGTCCCCTGGCTCACCCTGCTAAGGCTTCAGAGGGGGCCTCACTGCCTACACTCTGCTTTGGTAACATGCCCAGTGTCCGGCCTGCTGTTTGTGGCCAAGGGGAAGCAGCCAGCCTGAGCATGCCCCACGGTGTCACAGGTGGGGCTGTGGGCATGACACTCCCCCATCCTATCGCATGCCCATGGTGGCCTTGCACTGTCAGTCACACCTAGATTAACCCCCAAGCCCCAGAGACGGACAATCCCATTAGGCAGGGTGAAAAGTGGTTCACCATCCCCACCCTGGTTGAACACTTTAGGGGTCACTACACTGTTGCTTCTTAACTTGGACAACGCACTGTGATCATCTGCGGGAGCTTGGACAAATACTCCTGCCTGGGTCCTACCATCAGAGATTCCAAATAGAAATAGTCTGGGGCCTGAACTGGGAACGAGGATGCTTAAAAGCTCCCGCAGGTGATTCCAATATTATATTCAGCCAAGTTTCAAAACCAGTGCCCTAGACCCAAACTGCCCTCCCTACTTGTTAGGGACTGAGTCTAGCCCACCCCTGGAGTCAGCACTGGGCAGGCTGTCCTCTTGTCCACCTTTGGGCTTCCCCTGCCGGCCCTCATGGGCCATCTCTCAGCAGCCTCCCAGAGGAGACACTAGGTCTCACACTCACAGGGCAAGCCTGTGCCAGATGGGAGCAGATTTTCAGCAGAATCCTCTGGGTTTCCGACTTTCACAGGCCTGGGAGCCCTGTCCTCACTCAGAAGGGACAAAGAAAACAAGGCGGGTGACCCTGACCACATTGTTCTCAGGCTGGGACGGTAATCCCCCTGGCAGCCGGGCACCCCTCCCATGAGAGCCGAGTACAGGACATATCTTTGCAGGGACTGGCTGACCTAGGATGGGCTGCAGGTTTGGCTAAGCAAACAGTGAAGGGCCGGTGAGGTCTGAGCTCAGGATGGGACAGCAGGAAACACTCTCAGGCATGTGGAAGCCTGAGCTGATGAGTTACACTGGAAATCCCTGTGTGCACGGACACAGGGGACCTCGATGGTCCCCTGCCTGCCTGAGAATCATCCCTGGGGAGCAGGAAAGAGCCCCCATGCTCCCAAATATACACATCAGGTGACACTCTATATCTATGTTCTCAAAATCCACCCCTGCATCAGCTTCTGAAGGACTGAGGGAAGGCGGGATGTCCAGTGAGGCTTGAATGACAAGAGCAACAGCCCTAATCCACCTGCAGCTTCACAACCACTGCCCTGCTGTGGGGTGGCTGTGGCCTGGGTCCATGGTTCATGGTCCTGTGCTGGTGTCTGTGCCCTATCTGGGATGCTGCGGCCTGGATTTGTGACCTCACCCCTTCCCTGCCCCGAGGATCCAAATCCCGGGGATGTCTGACATCTCTCTGCCCCACGTGATGTCAAGAGGCATCTCCCAACAAGTGGGTCAACAGTGTGAGGAAGGGCAGAAAACGGTTGGGGCCGGGGCCCCTTGCGCCTGCGGAGTCAGGCAGAGCAGCCTCCTGTCCTTCCCCCATAAGGGTGTGGGTCACTAGGGAGCGAGAGGCCTTCCTTCCAGGGTGGGCCACGGAGCTCTGAGGAGAGGCCACTGCGTGGGATTCGGCCCCTGGCGTGTTGTCCTTCCCAGGCAAGCTGGCAACCCTCTCTGGTGTCGTCACTCCTGTGTGACGAGGTTGAGGGAGCCCGAGTCAACATCTCCCCCCACCAGACCCCCACATTCATCAAGCACTTTCCACACCCATAACTCCTCTTCCACAATTTCATTCAACCTTCAGGGAAGCCAGGAAAAATGGATATTACTATTCCCATTTTGTAGATGAGGAATCTACAGAGAGAGCTAGTGACCTGGTTTAGCCACTCAGCCAGTGAGTGACAAGGTACAGAGTAGGACCTGCCACAGGTCCCTAGCTCTCAGTTGAGGCCCTTTCCATGGAACAACCAGACTGTCCATCCCCCATCCTGGCGCTGGGCTGAGAAAGGCCAACCGCAGCTGGGCAGGGAAGGTGCCAGGGCACACGAGTGACGTGGAGCTGTGAAGCGCTGCACAGACACACCCATAGACCTGACCTTGGCTCTGCTGTTTAGGGTGATCAGATGCTATGCTTCCTGCCCCACGTCCCGGAGATGTGTCTTAGTTTTCCCCTGACCTTGGGGTAGGTTGGAAGGAGCAACCAGGGGAGTCACCAGCCAGTCCAGGTTTCTAAAAACCACCCTCGGAGCAGCCACAAAAGAGGTCAGGGAACTGCTAAGTCGCTGTGTCCCTTCCCAGGCTGATGTCCTGTAGAGCTCTGGCTCACCGCAGCCTGGCTGCCCACTGCATGCCAGCGTGCTTCCTGTCCTCCCCAGCCCAGGTCTGCACTGGACACACAAGCTGGGATGGCCAATCCACTTCAAAATCACCAGCGTCAAGTTTAAGACCCTCCTGTTAAGTTTAGGACCCTCCGTGAGCAGCATGAGCGCAGAGGGGAAAGGCCAGGGCTTCGGATGCTGGGGTCAGGACCTAACAGGTCACCTGGGCATGTCCTGTCACCTCTCTGAGCTTAGCTTTTGTATCTGGAAAATCAGGTACCAGGACTTCAACAGGTTGGGGTTCCAATTATGAGAAAATGATGTATGGCTTGATGCTGGGCACACTGGGAACGTTCCAGAAATGAGCACCAGGAAGAGACATGAATGTGGCTATTGTGGCTTCACATGTAGAACAAGGGGCCTGGGGGACAGCTCTGTTCTGTGGGTTTGAACCCACTGCACATGGCCTCCAGAGCTGGAGGAGAGCAGGGCCAGTTGTTGGGGGCAATGCCCTACTTCCGCCTGCCACCACTTGGAAGATCAGGGCTGGGACAGTCCTCTCTCAGCCGTGCTCTACTCCCTGTGCCTCTACAGGGGCCTTCCCATGGCTCACTCTCACTTCAGTCAGGTCTCACCTCAAACATCTCCTTCTCAGAGGCCCCCACATCTAAAACAGTAAACACCTGGGCCCCTCCAGCCCTCACTTCTCTGCACTCATTGCTATCTGACATCCTGTTAGGGATCTGTTTATCCAGCCTGCTTATCTGCCCAGATAGATCATGGTCTCTGAAGGCAGAAACTTCACTCATCCCTTAATCCCAGAACAGAACCTGGCACTCGTAGGTGCTCAATATTAGCCAGATGAATGACCAAGTCTCCAAGATGCATGCCTTCAGGGGTACAAGGGTGGGTGCCGGTGTTGTATCTCATGTGGGCTCTAGCTCCGCTGGATGAGGCGGGAGCCCTGACAGGTGCAGGCCCAGCACAGGTTCATGACTGTTCCCAGGCCCTACTGCCTTTTCCCCACCCTGCCCACCTGCAAGGCCAAAGCCCCCAGCAGTCCCAGCACTGGTGAATCAGCTCCCTCCAGACTTTGGAACCATCTGGATTCCACAGCCAGGAGGCAGGCAGGTGCAGATGGGTGGGAGGGCCACAGGAGGTCAAGGTATTCGAAGGCGCTGTAGGCGCTGTGGCTGCAGGTCTTCCCATGCACACCTTCCTGCTCTCCCAGCACAGGGAGCAAGGACGCTCTGATCCACGAAGTTCCTGGGACCTAGAGGCTGCCAGTCATGTTCCCCTGACACAGCTGCTTGCCGTGGGCCCCCTCGCACAACATCCCCAGACTCCTGCCTCTCTGCTCCTGATCCCTGACACACTCATCCCTCCAGGTTATACCTGTATCCTTGAGAAGGGTTGTGGCTGACACGACCCCATCTCCTACCTCTCCGAATCCTCCAGACAACCTGGCAACCTCCCCCAACCCAGAGGCCTCCCCCTGCTCTTGCCTCCTTTCCCTGCTCTCTTTGTCTGTAGCTGGCAGCTTGGGGTAATAAGTCACTGCCCTTCCTTGAGGGCTTGGGTTCTGATGATAAGCGATTATTATACCTACCCATATATTACAATATGTTTAAGATGGCCCAGTGGTTAAACTGTAAACATCTTCACTAATTAAAAAAGAAAAGTCCAAAGGGGTACTGGGCGGTGGCACTAATACTGCACTGGGGATGGGGCAGCTGAGTTACTCTACTCCCAAGAAGTAACTTCCTGCCTGTTTATTACAAACCACCCCTTCCCACCCAAACCTGGCTCCAAAAAGCTTGTCTGAGGGGCTTGTTTTCTCATCCACCTGTGCTCCAAGGGGATGGGTGGGAGGGCCACGGGATGTCAAGGTATTCGAAGGCGCTGTGGCTGCAGGTCTTCCCATGCACACCTTCCTGCTCTCCCAGCACAGGGAGCAAGGACGCTCTGATCCACGAAGTTCCTGGGACCTAGAGGCTGCCAGTCATGTTCCCCTGACACAGCTGCTTGCCGTGGGCCCCCTCGCACAACATCCCCAGACTCCTGCCTCTCTGCTC